TAACGCAGGGTGGTCCTCAAAAGCCCTTTAGAATTTGGCCAAGTTGCAGGACACTCTCTGGCGTGAGCAATCATTGATGCCCCCTCCTCCTTGGCTATAGGGTAAATGGAGCCAGACACCCCCTCAGTGCTTACGTGCCAGCTGAGGTGAGCGTGAGGCTGAGCCAGGTGACTATCCACACCAGACACAGGCTGGTCACTCTAGCTTAAGGTGACAATAAAAGTAAGCTATGTACTTTGAGAAACTTGAAAAATGTAAGTTATCAAAAAGTATTTTGCCCAAGGAGTATATGTAGAATACGTTTTAAATATTTTTATAATTTTAGTTTTGGTTTTCTTTCAAGACAGGGTTTCTTTGTAGTTTTGGAGGCTGTCCTGGAACTCTGTAGACCAGGCTGGCCTCGAACTCACAGAGATCCACCTGTCTCTCCCTCCTGAGTGCTGGGATTAAAGGCATGGGCTACCATAGCTCAGAAGGGAGGATTAGGAGACATTGCTTTGCCTGTTTTCAAGTCATTGCTCCACTTTAAAGCAATAGAGACTCTAAGTGAGGCACAGTGTAGCATATAGCACACACACACATACATGCACACACATACATACATGCACACACACACACATACACACAGGCAGACACACAGACACACAGACACACATAGGCACACAGACACACACACATACATACACACACACACACACAGACACACAGACACACAGACACACACAGGCACGCACACACACATACATGCACACACACAGACACACACAGAGACATACACAGGCACACACACACATACATGCACACACACAGACACACACAGAGACATACACAGGCACTCACACACACATACATGCACACACACAGACACACACAGAGACATACACAGGCACTCACACACACACACACAGGCACTCACACACATAAATGCACACACACACATAGAACCACGCACACATACACATACATGCACACACACACAGAGGCACTCACACACAGGCACTCACACACATACATGCACACACACACACACACACAGAGACCCACACACATTTACACATACATGCACACAGACACATGCACACAGATACAGGCACTCACTCACACACACACACACACACACACACAGAGGCACTCACACAGCACTGTGGTTGGTGATGCCTAACTCAAGGCCAGTGCTAAGAGTTAGTGATGTCCTTGCAGGTCTAAGCAGAAGTGCTTAGCTGGTCTTCACTTTCTCATTTTAAATCAATTGCACAATTAACAGTTTCAACTGAGCGGGCTAGAGCCGCTAGCCTGTTTCCAGGAGACCAACTTTCCCTCCAGTCTTAAGGGCATTTGTCTTTGGAAACCTAACAATAACCCAAGCACTTTCTCATGTCCCAGATTCGGTTGCCTGGGTCCCAAGAGAGCCTCCTTGATCCTGGGCCTTGTGAGCAGGCAAGCTGACTAAGGGCCATTCTGCCATGTTCCACCTATGGAAATGCCATGGTTGGCAGAGTATTGTCCCTGTCATAAGTCTTGGGATATCAGAATGTGTTGCTAGCAAAGGGGATTTCAGATAGGACAAAGGCCAAAGGCCTCAAGATGAGGTGGATTTCCTGAAGTCTGGTGACAAGTCCTCTGAACAGTAGAAGAGAAGGCAGAAGGAGGTGACCTGAGGGATGAAGACAGCATAAGGCCATGGGGAAGGAGGGCGGGGGGACATAGAGACTCACCTTTGATGACTTTGATGACCAAATTGAGTGAGAAGTTCAGGCAGCAGTCAGAGTGGCCTTCAGCTGACAGCCCTCAACGTGTAAGAACTATATTTTTCTGACACCACCTTTACTGTCTCAGAGCCCTGGTCTTCTGAGGCCCATGTCAGGTAGCAGTGACAAAAAAGCCAATAACCGCATCTACGGTGATGGATTCCTTCCCCTTTCAGAACGTTCCGGTTCACAGATGTCATAGAGAAGGTTCTAGAAGAGTTGCTCATGGAGCAGGATCGACGGCGTAGGAACTCTTGGGTGAAGACAAATGAGTTACTGAGGAATTGGCATCTGAGAAAGCTCGGGGTACCCAGTGCAGCTGGAGCAGCCAGCCTGCTAGCAGGGCGGAGGCTGCTGCCACTGCTCGCTGCTCGGAGTCCTTGACACCCTGCTGGGTTGGTAGGTGGGCCTTGGTGGGCAGGAGCAGAGACAGGCAGAGGACACCCAGCTGCAGAGCCCACTTGTCAGCAAAGTCCCTTGATCACCTGGAGACGAGTTTTGGAAGGGTAGGCCTGCTCATTCTTTAACCGAGATCATTGAGACTCAGCCGCACACCAGGCACTAACCTTTGGGAGGAGGCAGCACCAGGCAGGCAAGCTCTCTGCAAGCAAGAGAACAAATGAACACGGTGATTGGTGTTAGGGTGTACTACAAAGACAACCAAAGCCGCCTTCCATGATGGGTCAGCAGCCAGGGTTAGAACCACAGTGGTTGGAGGAGTCTTATTCTAGGTGGAAGGGTCAGCTGGCACAAAGGCTGGGGACAGACAGGTCGGTGGGAGGTGGGTGGGCTTCAGCCATGCTCTGCTGAATCGGCTGCTGGAGGGAAGGAAATAAGAGACCTTCTGTCTTTCAAGAGCCAAGGCATGGCCCTACTTGGGAAAGACGGGCATTTCCTGAAATACCATTTACTTCACAGTCTTTCTCCACATGCACAGAAATTCAGTTATTAATGAGGACCCAGGGCATGCAACCAGGACTCAGAACAGGGCTGTCTCCAGGGCGTGTACTGTATTGAACTCATTTACTCAACACAGTTAAGGCCAGTCGTGTTTCCCCCTGTGTGACAGTCAAGGAGAAAACACAGAGGAGTTGAGTGACCTGGCTAAGGTCACTGCCGGGGTCTCTGACATCCCAACTCCCAAGGGGCAAAGCAGATACTGGGGCCCGGGCTATCTGAGGACCAAGGCTGCACTTGCAACTGGAATCCCAGATATCACCTCCTTCTGAGACAGCAGTCAGGCATACAACTAACCACACACCTGGATTAAACCGGCGTTTGCCACCTTCGCCCCAATTAAAGGTTTCATCTGAGCTATTAGCTCATGATAGAGAGCACTCTGGTTCTCCAGAGGACAAATACCTGGCAGCATGAAGACAGAAAGAGTTATCTGTGGCTCTGGTTTGAGGACACTGCCCATCATGGTGACAAGGTCATGAGATGATCACACACGTTTATAAAACGTCAGGAAGCAGAGGGCAGCTAGGAATTGGGGCTGGCGTCACTATTCAAGGGCTCTTCAACCCTCCAGAAACAGCATCAGCACCTGGGGGGGGGTGCCAAAGATCCAATCACATGACCCCAAGGGGAACAGTTCACACCTAAACCACCACCAGGTATGCCAGGACTCCAATCCCCAAAGAACTTTCTGGCCCAAGCCAGGGCTGTGAGCCCCTGACGTAGGAGAATATCACATAGAGGACACACATGCAGTGTCAGTTGTGAGTGGTGACACACGTTCCCTGGCCTGTAGTGACAACTTGTGGGGACACTGGGAAGAGACCAGGTCCTGCTTTCCAGTCATATCTTCTGTTTTGAGGCATGGGATAAAATCCAAAAACAGGATTCTCACTCCAGGGGTCAAGGAAGGGGCTGTGAGCAGCCAGAGCTGGGCAGGGGAAGGGAGACCTCACAGGGATCCATCAGCCATCAGAGGTGGAGGCCAGAAGGTGGAGAGAGAGCAACATGTGGGCGGGGATGGCGTGGTGGGGGCCCTGTGGATGGGGAAGACTGTGTTCCAGGGCGGCACGGGGAGACTGTAGCGGGTACATGGCGTAATGGGTATGGCACTTGCTGACAGGCCCAGGCAGGGTGTACGGAGAGTTCTCAAGGGCTGAGTTGCTTCTTCTTGATGGAAACTCGGCAGGGTAACGCCAGGTTCTGGAGGGTGTATAAAACAGGGCTAAATGTGGCAAGGGATGGAGTGCCAGCCGTGTCTCAAGGTGACGCTTTGCACACGCTTCACACACGCTTTGCAACGCTCCGCACACGCTTTGCACACGCTTTGCACAGGTTTGGGGCATTGCTCAGTTGTGATTGAAGATGGCAGCTTGGGCCTGAGCAAGCAGAAGGTTTAAACGGGTGAGGTCAAGAGTCGTTTATCGGGAGGACCGTCCCACCATTACAGACTAGGAAGCAGAGGCTCCGCGAGGCCAGGGGCTTGTCCTCTGGGGCTGTCCCCTGTGAGGACAGCCAGGGCAGAGGTCACTGGGGGCTGTAACCTGAAGCCCCGGGACTAGGACTCTTGTGAAGGGTAAGGCCGTGGGTCTTGTTGCAGCCAAAGGGCAGCAATGGAACTAAGTCCACGTGGCGGGCAGGGTGGTGCTCAATGGTGTACGCACAGTGAGTTGTCCTCCTTCCTCTTCCTCCTCCCCCTCCTCCCCTCCTTTCCCTCCTCCTTGCACACCTCTTCCTTCCCCTTCTCTTTCTCATTCTCCTCTTTTTCCTCTTCCTTTTCTTCCTCTTTCTTTTCATCATTTCCTTCCTGTTATTCTCCCTCCTCATCCCTCTTCACCCCTCCTCCTCATCCCCTCCTCCTCATCCCCTCCTCCTCATCCCCTCCTCCTCATCCCCTCCTCACCCCTCTTCATCCCCTCCTCCGGCCCTCCTCATTCTTCCAAAAATGTACATAGCAAGTTTAACTTCCACAACAGACTACTAAATAGAGGGAGAGGGGAGGACTCACTCATCCACACCAACTGATGGAACAAAATAGCAGAGCTACAACCCAAGAAGCCACTGTGTCTTTCTGGGAGGCAGAGAACTTCCAGAGTATAATTTCCTCAGCAAGTGCCTCAGGCGTGAGGTCTGGGTGAGCCGGGCCTCAGGCGCCCATGTTTGCCGGAGCACAGAATCAAGGCCATCCTGAATCTCCTCTTCTCCAGTGCCTCTCTTTCCCCTGGGAAGTCCGGTGTCCCTGTGTCCTTGGAAGGAACTGCCTGAGAGTGTGCACTCAGCTGGTGTCCACAGCCCTGAGCCACCAGAGCATAGAGAAGATGCAGGCGTGCCTGGTGCTTCTGCTCATCAGCTGCTGGCTGACTCCGATTGGCGCATCCATCTTGGGGCGCTGCGTAGTGGCTAAGAGGCTCCACGAGGGAGGCTTGGATTACTTTGAGGGCTACAGCCTTGAAAACTGTGAGTGGGTCCCTTGCAGCCCCTCATGCCTCACCTCCTTGACCTCCACCCCCCCCCCCGCCCTGCACCCAGCCTCTTCACACACTGCTTGCTTTCTCACTCCCAGGGGTGTGCCTGGCTTATTTTGAGAGCAAGTTCAACCCCTCGGCTGTGTACGAGAACTCACAAGACGGCCACATTGGCTTTGGCCTCTTTCAGATCCGCCAAGGTGAATGGTGTGACCACGGCAAGAATCTCTGCAGTGTGTCTTGTTCTGGTGGGTTCCTTCCTTCCTGTCTCTCGGGGCACTGGGGGAGGGAACTGGCTTGGGCTTATGTCTAAAGCTTGTCCCTGGGAGGTGGGGTCCCTGACGGGGGGGGGGGGATGATAATGCTAGCCTGAGAAGGAAGAATGATGGAAACCAAGGCCAAACGGGCCCAGAAGGTCCTGGGATGCCTGTGATGTTGGGAGCAGGGGCCAGCAGCAGAGTCCAGGCTGCCTGAGAGTGGGAAAAGATTACTCTTTCTAGTCCTACATCAGTCACCCTGACAGTAGGGAGGAGAGAGAGACTTGCCAGCTCAAAGGGAACATATCTGCTCCTCTTAAAGGGACCTAAGAACTGGTTGCCACGAGGAAGCGGCTGGCCAGGACCCACTCCCGTGTTGGGAGTGTTTCCAGAGGCTTTCTTAGGCACTTCCCTGAGACAGTTTGTTTAATGCCCACAGTGACCTCTCAGGAGTAGGTATTGTTTCTATTCCCATTCTGTAAGTGGGCAAACTGGGGCCCAGCAACAGGGAGTCCAAACCCGAGGCCACATGGCTGGTGAGTGGACCTGGCGGCAGACGCAAGTGGAGTGACTCCTAAGTCACAGTTACGCCAAGAGGCCAAGTGAGGTCTCCCTAATGCCTGAGGTGTCTCTGTAGCATCCCTGGGCTTCCTTAAAGAGAGCGCTTCTCTCATTAAAGAGAGTTTGCCTCTACCCTGACTCTTGAGGAGTGGTCCAGGGTCCTCAGCTTCCGGGGGACCTACACCCACCCACCTCCAGTCCTCTCCCAGGCTGCACCAGAAGGGTCAGAAGCCTCTATCATCTCTCCATACTGCCTTCTAAAGCAACGGTCCTGGACCGTTGCTCACCCTTCCGTGTCCCCTGCCTTGTGACCTGTCTTGAATAGCGTGCTGTGCAGTGAGGCTGATGATGCTAGCTGTCATCAAATGGCACAGCAAGGCTTTGTTTCACTTTCTCTGCAGCCTTACTGAATGCAAACTTAAAGGATACAATCGAATGTGCCAAGAAAATTGTAAAAGGAAAACAAGGGATGGGAGCCTGGTAAGTGCCATGTCCAACGTCTGCTGCTCATGCCGGAGGCCGAGCGAGGGCCGTTTGGGGCCTTCCATCTGCCTGTGACCAAACAGCTGACCGAAGCAACTGAAGGCAGGAAGGGAGCCGAGGCATTTGGCTCACAGTTTGAGGGGTACAGTCTCTGGTGGCGGTGCAGTCACGGTGGCAGGGGTATCACGTGGCAGCCACAGTCAGGAAGCAACGAGAGGCGATGCTTGTTCTCAGCTTTATCTCCCTGTGTCCGTGAGATGGCGCTGCCCACATTCAGGGTCCCCACTCAGTGGGAGCCGTGTCAGTAAAGACACTCGGAGGTGTGTGTGTTCTAGGTGAGTGTAAGTGGAGGTGGTAATAATGATTCTCCGTGACTCATATTAATAACTGTGTGTGTGGTGTGTGTGATATGTAGTGTGTGTGCATGTGGTGTGTGTGTGCATGTGGTGTGTGTGTGTGTGTGTGCATGGGGTGTGTGTGTGCATGGGGTGTGTGTGTGTGCATGGGGTGTGTGTGTGTGCATGGGGTGTGTGTGTGCATGGGGTGTGTGTGTGCATGGTGTGTGTGTGTGCATGGGGTGTGTGTGTGTGCATGGGGTGTGTGTGTGTGCATGGGGTGTGTGTGTGCACATGGGGTGTGTGTATGTGTGTGTGCATGGGATATGTGCTGTATGTGTGTGTGGTATGTGTGTGTGTGTGGTATGTGTGTGTGTGTGTGTGTTTGTATTTATGTGTGTGCAGTGCCTGCAGATGTTAAAAAAGGGTATTACATTCCCTGGAGCTGGAGTTATAGGCAGTTGTGAGCCCTTGTGGTTGCTGGGAACAGAACTTTGTCTAGTATATAGTATATGCTTTAATAACGAGGCATCTCTCTAGCCCCGTCTCATTCATATATATATATATATATATATATATATATATATATATATGGCCCTTTATAAACAAGGGCTATTAAGTGTTCATAACTACATCTGTGTGGGTTGTTTTCTTAGGACTGTCGTTTGTGTTTTGACTTTGTTGGTGGTATCTTCATCCTAGATGAGACTTAACAGTTTCTTAGAACCAAATTCCTCCATCTTTTCTCCTGTGGCTCTTGGCTCTGTGTGGGACCTCCTTCTTAGAAATGTGTTTAAGAACCGGGAGGTGGTTCAGTTGGAAAATACTTGCCTTGAAAGCACGAGGATCCGAGTTTGATCCCCAGAAGCCGTGTTTTTAAAAATATTAAGTATGGTGACATGCACTCAAAATCTCAGTGCTTGGGAGGTGGAGGTGGCTGGGTCCCTGGGACTCACTGGCCAATGGAGACCCTCTCTCAGAAAACGAGGTGGGCTGTGCCCCTCCCCCCATCACCTGGCTTTATCCTCTGACTTCCATGTGCACGCCACATATGAGTGCACACCCACACACATATACAGCTTGCACACTTGTGAAAATACAAGTACACATTAATTTAAGGCATTTTATACTGGAGGCTTGACAAGAACTCCATACATGCTTTCTCCGTATCAGAACTCGGCTGACACCAAGTCAGCCCTGGATACTGTTGCTAATTTTTTTTTTAAAGAATTCTTACGATTTTATCCTTTTATGCTTACATTTTGGATTCCTTTGTAATTGATTTTGGTGTGAAGAGTGAGGTAGGTGCTCTCTTTAATTTCTGCTAAGACTACTACTCATTGTTGTCATGAATCCCCTTTACGCAATTTCACTGCTAACAACGGATTGCACCCGATGGTAGAAATCTCCTTGTTAATGATAACTGTCTCCATTTATACGTGGTCTGGGCTTTCTGGTTAATTGGTGAGCTTGGCTGAGTCTCTGGGATAAACACTAATGAGCCAAAGTCATCTTTGTTGCGTGGCACTAAGGACCGGTAAGCTGTGCCATCCTGGCTGAGGTGCCTTGTTATCCAGATTCCTGGTAAGGCAGGCTCTGGGTAAGCTAGCTGACAGGCAGCTATGTATCTGGACACAGCTCAGACCAAGTCACCCTGCTGTGTGGTGTGAATAAGAGAGGAGAGAAGATCCTTATGCTCTGGGGAACTCCTTCAACACATCTGTCCCTGAAGAAGCCTTGGGGTTTCTGGGGGATGAGGATGCCGTGTGTTTACTGTTACTCTGTGGCTACAAGGGACCAAGGACCACTGTGTAGTATGGGTCCCCATCCTGAAGGTCAATGAAGCTCTGCAAGGCTGAGGAGCAGGGCTGTGGACCCTGGGCTAGTCACAGAACTCCTAAGCGCTCTTAGAGGAGTGACTAACACCTCACGAGGCTGGAGTGCCCCAGCTGGGCGGGGTTCCTGTGTGAGATGGGGCTAGCGTGGCCACATCATGGTGTGGCCTGCACCACACCACACCACACCAGGTGAGTACCAGGGAGCAGAAAAGCCTGACGAAGTGTGTCCACGCTGGGGAGACATGGTCAGGCAGGTGTGTGTGGCTCTGGTGTGGCTCTGGGACGCCCACACACTGACTCTAAGGAGCCACCACCACCTTCCCCCTGCAGGCCCACCTGGACTAAGAACTGCCAGCTATCTGACACCCTGGACAGGTGGCTGGATGGCTGTGACCTGTAGCCACCGGTGTGGGCCCGTCACACTTGCCAGCCATGCCTTGTGGCTGAGGATGCTTTTCTGTTTGCTGCTTCCTCCATCCATTCCCGTCATCTCACCGTTTGACAGCCCCAGATGGAAAAGGACAAAAGTCTACTTCATCCAGGGGTGCAAGGTGCAGAATAAACCAGCTAGTTACTCTACCTGGGCCTGAGGTCTCTGCCGGCACCCTTACATTGTGAGCGCCACGGCCGTCATCATTGCTTACCGCTGACACGACTTACCATTTCTGGTTCCTAAGGGAAGAGTGTGGAGGCAGAGATTTCAGCCTTCAGTAGGGCAAGGAGGGAGAGTCCCAGTGGCACCTGAGAGGAGACACGGAAGCAGGGAAGAGAGGCTGGGCAAACACGGGTTCTTCTTCACAGCCAGCGTGGCTGGGCTTGAATCGGCTGGGAGACACACCTCTCTTTGCATGTGCCTTCCAGGGGCCCCAGTTTGGACTGACTGAGGAAGGGAGACCCACACTGAATGTGGTAGAACTGTCCACAGGCGGGTCCCAGGCTGAATAAGGGAAGATAGAAGGGTCCAGAGAGCATCCCCTTCCCGGTCTACGGAGACAGGAAGAGTACCCACCTCACGGCCCCATCGTGCATGGTGGGCACTGCAAACAAATCCTTCCTCCCATAGTTTGCATTTGTCAGGTATTTGATCACAGAGATGAAAGTGATGGACAAGCTTCCCATTGTAACCCCAAGGGGCATCCCTGCTGGAACCTACAGGGGCAAGCCAGAGAGCTCGAGACACACAGACTGTCCCACCCATATCTCTATGGGAAGAACCAGTGACAGTCATTTTTCTTATAACATGAAGTTTCTGGAGATTAGAAATGACACACATGCTCATATGAACAACGGGCACTCTGGTTTTAAAACTATAGAAATGTTAAGTCTGCCACGATTTCAGCACTGCTGTTCACTATTTTAGCTGCATCTCTTTCTTAGTCAGTTCTCTTGCTGTGAAGAGACGACACCATGGTAACTCTCATAAGGAAAAAATTTAATTGGTACCGGCTTATAATTTCAGAGGTTTGGTCCATTGTCATTGTGGTGGGAAGCAGAGTGACATGCAGGAAGACTTGGTGCATCTGGATCTGCCATGGCAGGGAGAGAGAGCTCACTAGGACTGCCTTGGACTTTTGAAACCCCAAAGCACACTTCCTCCAAAGACACGCCCACTCCTCAGGGCCACACCCACTCCTCAAGGCCACACCCACTCCTCGGGCCACACCCACTCCTCGGAGCCACACCCACTCCTCAGGGCCACACCCACTCCTCAAGTAGTGCACTCTCTGATGACCAAGCATGCACATCTACGAGCCTATGGGGACCATTCTTACTCAAACCACACAACCTCCTTCCTATGGTTTTTTTTCTTTTGATGTGTGTATGTGTCAATGTGTCAATGCGTGCTGTCTGTGTGTATCTGTTGTGTGTCTGTGTGTTTCTGTGTCTGTGTGCCTGTGTGTGTATCTGTGTGTGTGTGTGTGTGTGTGTGCATTCGCGTTTTCTGTTTTCAACAATGCTGTAGATATGATTATACAACTCACTTTTAAGGGGAAAAAAAATAAACCAGGTGGGTATGGTGGTACCTATTAGTTATAGTATCCGAAGGTTCATATAGAAAGATCCATGTTGGGCTGGAGAATTGGCTCAGAGGTTAAAGAGCACTGGCTGCTCTTCCAGAGGTCCTGAGTTCAATTCCCAGCAACCACATGGTGGCTCACAACCATCTATAACCACATGGTGCTCCCTTCTGGCCTGTAGACACACAGGCAGAAGACTGTATTATAAATAAATAAATTATCTTCTAAGAAAGAAAAAGAAAAACAGAAAGGAAGGAAGGAAGGTCGATGTCACTTGGAGGCCATCTTTGGGCCCCATAGTGAGATCTTGTCTCAAGAAACAAACAGGCCTGGGGCTGTATCTCAGTTTGTAAAGTGCTTGCTCAGCAGGCACAGAGCCTTGAGTTAGATCCCCACCACTGCATAAAACCAGATACAGTGGCTCCTAATGGTGACCCCAGCATGGGAGAGGTAAGAGCCAGGAGGGCCCGAAGTCAAGAGCAGCCTTTGCCACACAAGGAGTTCAAAGCCAACCTGGGCCCTGTGGGACCCTGACTCAAATAAGCAAATGAAAATAAACATAAAATACAATCCCCCGTGTTTATAACAATTTCGTGCAGAGAGGGGTTTGTTTCTGAAGCACGGTGTCTTATTGAGCTCTAGGGGACAGAGGGTGTGAGGCCTGGGGTCCTGGGACCCTGGGCTCTTCTGCTGGAGATTTGGTTTTGAGCCCCAGAGATACCTGCATATCTAAAGCCAGTTTACTGTTGGACCCAAGCCTTGAGGAGCTTGGAAAGTCCAGCCCTTCACCTTTCTACAAGGAGGAGGAGGAAGCAGTGGAGTTGAGGGGTGGCCTCGGCCTCCTCGTGACATTACAGGTGCTGCACTGTGAAACCCTCCGGCTGGTTGATTCCGTGCTGTGTGGGGTGTACGAATTTCATTTACCCTGTGCTCCCCTGCCCCCACTGTTTGAGTTCAGGGTTTTGTCCCCTTTGGAACTGTTCTGGGGCCTGCCTTCTTCAAGTTTAACAAGATAGAAATGGTACACGTTAGATGAAGAAAGCCGGGAATATAGATAAGAAGGTCACTAAGAATACCCCCCTCCACACACGCACAGTGAACAGGTCTCGGTTGCTGCACGTTCTATTGGTCAGTAGCCCATGTTGAGAGAGAGCCGGGGGACCATTAAACTTTCTGTGTCCCTTTCCTGACTTGGGGGTTAACACGTACACATGCCCACACATTTTTTTTTCCCACTTACAAGCACTGTCCACTACTAAATATACAGTATGATATCTTGCTTTCCTGGTTAGCAATTTGTAGCCTAATATTTTCAGTCCCCATCAGGAACCTCAGCCCTGTTTTTAATGACCTCCCCATGTCATCAGATGGCAAACTGCAATGTGTAATCCCTTTATTGCCATCCGTTTAACCTATAGACAAAGCAAGCAGGTGGAGCAGGCAGCGACTGCCTTAAAGGCAGGCAGCATACAGCAGCCTGGCCTTTGTACACAGACAGTTGCTTATTTTCCCCAAGAGAATCAGCCGTAAGTCAGAACTTCTGGGGAAAACTTCTAGTCATGCTCAACGCTGATGGGTCAACCTCATGTCCCATGATTGCATGGCTTCCCCTTGTCCCCCGAGAAGAGGATTGTTGCATTTCCTACACAGAACATGAATCTTGCGTTGTCACTAATGACACTGGCTCCTGGGTTCAATAGAGACCTTGGAGGCCCTGTGGGAAACTTTAGTGTTGAGCTTTGGACCTGGCATCGTTTCCAAGGGTGGGGACAAGAGCAATAGGGTACCTGATCCCAACCCTTCGCTGATGCAGATGTTGGTGACATTAGTGACAGCCTGAGATTGATCATAACACTATCATCTCAAGAGGAAATCCAGCTACCTCCTCCTTCCAGCCCATTACTTCCAAGGCCGCCCATCCTTCCCTAATGGCCTCTGTGTCAACAAGGGTGTGAGGCTCAAGGGCAAAGCAAATGTTAGGGTATTGATGGGAACGGCGTTTCCCAACATCAACTCCTGGCTTCGTGCCCTACAAGCTCTCCCATCGCAATGAGCACTGAGTAGCCAGGTCCCCTACCCTGGCTTATCACCATCAAAGCTGGATGCCCCTGTCATCCAGCTCTGTCATTATGACTTCTAGTACCAGCAGGTACTGTAAACTGTAGCAGTTACTATAGCGATCCCGATTTCTCACGTTGCGCGGGCTCTTCTCTCACACACTTCTTCTCCGAACCTTAGATGTTAGGTATGAATTATAACCTCCTTACAGGTGGCAAAACAGCCTGGGAGAGGAGAGAGAACTTGGCTTTAGTGCAGTAATGACGGATATGGGTTAGGCCTCTCCTTAGAACTCATGCCCCTGTACACGGCTCCCTAAACCTCGCAAATATATCGTGTGTGTGTGTGTGTGTGTGTGTGTGTGTTCGCACATGCATAGAGGTTAGAGACAACCTTGGGTACTGATCTTGAGACATTGTCATCTTTTATTTGTTTTTAAGGATTTCCCACTAGCTTAGAACCTGTCATGTGGCTGATGGCCACTTTTTCCCCAGTCACCAGTCAGAGCAGCGGGGATCACAACACCATTTTGAAGGGAGATGAGACACTGAGGTTTCAAAGGTACCGTCAACATAGCAGACTGTCATTTTTTTATGAGACACCCCATGTATGTGACTACACCTGGAAAATAAGGGCTCACACAACTCAGAAGCGCTTACACCTAGTTGGTGCTGGCTCCCTCTCCATCCCTGTCAGGAGCCAGCAAGGGGCTGGGGTGCTCACAGCTGTGGCTCCTGGGGCAGCCTTCTCTGGGTCCATTCAGCTCACCTCCCGCCCCACGCAGTGAAGCCTGGTGTCAGCCCTGAAAACCAGGTGAGTCCTGCATTCCCTGAACAGCAGCAAGGCTCCGGCTGGAGGCAACGTTTTTCTTTTTATTTTATTTCTTTTAATCTCTTGTAAAGTAGATTCAACCGAGACACACAAATGTTTCTTTGTATGCCATCCATACCGGGGTAGTTTGTGAAATTCATGCCATTAAGTCGATCTCCAGGCCTGTGTGAAGCAGGCATTTGGAGTCCAGCGTTTCCCGACCTGGGGCAGATTGATTAATTAATTAATTAATGTGGCCTCCACATAAACTCCCCGGACTTCTGTCTCGTCAGTTTGACCGGATTTAGAACCATCTAGAAGACAGCTCTGAGCATGTCTGTGAGGGTGTTTCTAAGGAGGTTAACAACTGGAGAGGGAAGATTCAGCCTGCATGAGGGCTGCCGACATCCCGTGAGCTGGAGTCCAGAACTAAACGGACAGGAAGGGGAAGCAGCAAGCGCAGCGTCCTTCCTCCACATTTCCTGGTTCCTCGAGAAGTGAGCCTCGGGGTCAGCTAGAGTCAGGTCTGTCACCATGCCTCCCTCACCACCATGGGCCAAAACCAACCTCCCTACCGAGAGTTGGTTCTGTCGGGTATATTGTCAGAGC